GCACAGGAGGGGAGCTGGCTTTGTGAGTTCAAACCCAAGACCAACCAAGGAATGAACCTGCCGGAGGACAGGGAGGCCTCGGGTAGGAAGAGAGCTTCCTGTCGCTCAGGGTGTTCAAGCCGGGGTAAGTGGGGGGGGCGGGCCTGGGGAGAGTTCATGCACTAAGTGTGGTTGTACCTGGTGATTTTTGTTTGGGGGAAGGTTGTCTCTCCTTCAGGGTAAGAATAGCTCTGTGTGTGTGTGTGTGTGTGTGTGTGTGTGTGTGTGTGTGTGTGTGTGTGTGTGTGTGTGTCACCCAGGTCTCCTCCATAGCAAAGAAGAGAATCTGCAAATCCTTCAAGTGTGTGTGTGTGTGTCCATGCATGTGCACACGTGCCCATTGTTAGTACTGGGGCTTGAACTCAGGGCTTGCTTGCTGTCTCTTAGCACTCAAGACTAGCCCTTTACCACTTGAGCCATACATACCACTGCTTCCAGCTCTTTTGGTGTTTAATTGGAGATAAGAGTCTCACGGACTTTCCTGCCCAGGGCTGACTTTGAACCTCCATCCTCAGATCTCAGCCTCCTGAGTAGCTAGGATGACAGGCATGAGCCACCGGCACCCAGCTCTGCCTCAGTGTTTTAAATGCTAGGATTATTGGTGTGGGCCACCATGCCCAGCTTGGATCCTTATTTTCAATCCTTCCTTCCTTCCCTCCTTCCTTCCTTCCTTCCTTCCTTCCTTCCTTCCTTCCTTCCTTCCTTCCTTCTTTCCTTCCTTCTGTTGGTTCTTTCTTTCTTCTATCTATCTTCTTTTGTTGGTCGTGGGGCTTGAACTCTGGGCCTGGGCACTGTCCCTCAGCTCTTCAGTTCAAGGTGAGCACTCAAACCACTTGAGTCACAGCACCACTTCTGGTTTTCTGGTGGTTTATTGGAGATAAGAATCTCACGGATTTTTCCTGGCGGGCTGGCATCGAACAGTGATCCTCAGATCTCAGCCTCCTGAGTAGCTAGGATGACAGGCCTGAGCCACCGGCACATTAAAATTTTTAATGGACAGAGACAAAGGCCCAGGGGACCTGCCCCTACCCCTACCGGCCCTCCCCATGCCTCCTTGGCACCTGACCTTTGGAAAATCATCATCCCCGCTCCCTTAAGCCTCCACCCAGCCCTCTTTCCCTCCAAGCTTCGGCTGGAGCCAGCCAGGAAATGGCTCTCTTCCTCTACCTCAAGTGGAGGCCTGCCCATTCTCCTGAGCTCTTTCAACGGCACATTCTTCGGAGCACTTTCTCTCCTAGTATTCCTCCTGCTGCCCGTCACCCCCCCTGGGCATGGACGCTCCCCCGTTCAGCTCACCCTGTCTGTCTGTCCTAGAATTCCGTCCTCCCATCTTTCTCTCCTAGGTGGCAGGGAACCGGGGCTCCTGGGAATCACTGGTGAGCCAAGTTCAGTAGACATCTCGGGAACTCACACGCTTGGAGAGAGAGACGTGTGTGTTTCCTGGTCCTCTGAGTGTGGTGGACGCTGGGCCTCGGTGCCCTGCCAGGGGGGAGCCCCAGCCTGGCCGAGCCGGTCAGAGACCATCATTTCCACCTCCTCCCCAAGCCCTGGCTATCAGAAGGGATCTGCTTAGCTTTGAAGGGCTTTACTTCTAGTCTCTTCTTGATCAGCAGTGGGGGGTCCGCTAGGGAGTCTCCTCACCCCGCCTGGCAGGGAAGGAGAGGGGTGGGGCTTGCCCTCGATTGACAGGCTGCTGAGCCGGGTCATGCTCTCCCTGGGACCCCTGGGTTGGCCGCACACTGGGAGTCGGCGGGATGTAGGATGTGACAGGCAAGCCCCCCAGGTGCTCTGGACTCCTGCTGACCTCCTCTCTGAGGTCACTGCAGGACATGTTCCACGGCCAGCAGAAGGCCAGTCTCCTTCATTGCCTTGTGCTCTTCCTTGGCTTTTTTAGGCAAGTCTGGCCCTCTACCCCTTGCATCATGCTTCCAATTCCAGTGTCCTCCTTGTGTGTGTGTATGTGTGTGTGTGTGTGTGTGTGCCCTTGGGCTTGAACTCGGGGCCTGGGTGCTGTCCCTGAGCGGTTTTTTTTTGGGGGGGAGGGGTCCAGGCTAGTGCTTTACCACTTGAGCTACTGGTCTGCTTTTGGCATCTCATAGGTAGGTAATTGGCGATAAGAGTCTCACTGTTGTTCCTGCCTGGGCTGGCTTCGAACCCGGCTCCACAGATCTCAGCCTCCTGAGTAGCGAGGTATACAGGCACTAGCACCCGCACCAGCTCAGGGTCCGCCCTTTCAGCTGCCATTCACCCGCTGCACGGACCCAGCAGCGTCCGGCCCTGACCCCACCAGCACCACCATAGCCCAGACCCGGCGTGTGGCCAGGGCCCCTGGCCTGCCGGCTTGTGCCCTGCAGCCCTCGCCCCCCTCCCCCGCCCTTCCCCCTCAAATTTTACCCCTGCTTCTGATGCCTGCGGCTCTTTACAGGAGATGCCGGGATGCATCCTTCTCTCTTTAAAAAAAGGATCAGAGGACCTTTAGGACATCATTTTTTTGGTAGTGGTGGTGGTGGGGGTCTGGGCTAAATCCCCTGCGTGCTGCCCTGCCTGCTGGCCGAATGACCCCTCCAGTGGCGGAGAACGGGGTGTGGGGGAGAGGCTCCCCGGGACTCTGGTCACCTCCCTGGAGAGGCCGCGTCCCCCAGTGTCCCGGCCTGTCCAGCAGCCATGCAGAAGCCATTCCCAGAAGGTCACTGGCACAGGCCGGGGGTCCCCCTCCCCCGTGGGCCCCAGGCTGGTGGGGGGGTAAGAGGCTCCAGGGGAGGGAGTGGCGGGGGAGGGGGGCGGCCCTGGCAGAGGCGGGTTCTTTTCTCTCTTCACTTCTCTTGTCCAAGTTCAGGCTCAGCAACAGGGCCACGCCGGGGCGGGGCGCCCCCGTCCCCCTCCCCTCCCCGGCCCGCACGGGGCCTGACCCGCATCGGAATGACCAGGGGCGGGGCGGGGGCGGGGCCCCGCAGAGCCGGGGCCGCTGCCGCCGCCCAATCCCCTGCGCCTGGCCCTCTCCGTGAATGCAGCAGTGTCCGGCCGCGCCGACTGGGCGACCCCGTCCTCCCGGTCCTCCCCGTCCCCTCCTCCCCCTGCGCGCTCGCACTCGGCACCCTTACGTGTTACCACCACGATTATTTATTATGATTAAAAAGAAAGAGCGGGGCGGGCGGGCGGGCGGGCGGGCGGGCGGGCGCCCTCCCTCCCCGACAGCGTCTGCGTCCCTGCGGCCCGCTGCACCTGCTCGCGCCCCCCCCCCCCCACGCGGGCCCGCCTCCCGGCCGGTCCTCCCCCCCCCCCCCGCCCCGGGCTCCGATCCCCCCCATCCCCATCCCCATTCCCGGTCCATGGCCCGAGTGGCGGCCACGCGCCCCGAACCCCCCCCCCCCCCACCGCCCCGGGCTCCGATCCCCCCATCCCCATCCCCATCCCCGGTCCATGGCCCGAGCGGCGGCGGCGGCGCGCCCCGAGCCCCCCCCCCCCGCCCCGGGCTCCGATCCCCCCATCCCCATCCCCATCCCCGGTCCATGGCCCGAGCGCGGCGGCCGCGCACCCCGAGCCCCCCCCCCCCCCCGGCTCAGATTCCCCCCATCCCCATTCCCGGTCACGGCCCGAGCGGCGGCCGCGCGCCCCGAGCCCCCCCTGCCCCGCCCGGGCTCGCGGCTCGCGATCGCGGACTCGGTCTGCCCGCCCGCCCCGGCTCCGGCGCGCGCCCGTCCCGTGCCCCACGCTGCGGCCCGCGCCCCGGGGCCCGGCTCGGCCACCGCCCGGCACAGCGCACTCGCTCCCGCAGGCCGGGATTGCGGCACGGGGCCGCCAAGTGCGGAGGGGGGACGAGCGCGGGCCGCCGCCGCCCCCAGGCCCCGCCGCAACTTTTCCCTTCCGCCGCCGCTGCCGCGGTTCCCCCCCCCCCACCCACGGGGGCTGCGGCGCGGCGGGGCCGGAGCGCGCGGGCGTGGAGGGCGGCGCGGGGAGGGACGGAGGCGGGGGGGGGGGCGATCCGCTCCCCACTCGGGCTGAGGCGCGGAGGAGGGTGGGGAGGAGGGCGGGCGGGCAGACGCGCCCCCGGCCACCCGCGCGCGCGCGCCCGTCCGGCGAGGCCCGGGGCGCGCGGGGGGCGCGGGGAGCTCACTTGTGCCTTTCCGCGGCGGCGTCTGCAGCGCCGGCCCGCAACCCGCGCGCGCTCCCGTCCCCCGCGCGCTCCCGTCCTCCGCGCGCGCGTCCCCGCCGCGGCTGCGCGCGCCCGGCCGCCCGCGTGCGCCCGTGTTTGCAGGTGTGTCCCTTTTAATTCTGCCCAGTGGGTGGGACTTGGGGACTTGGGCGCCGTCCCCCTCCCGCGCCCGCCCGCGCGCGCGCTCCCTCCCCTCCCCTCCCTCTCCATTACACACACACACATATATACATATCATTCTATTTCATTTTATTTTTTGCCTTCCCACCCTGCCAAGTCTGGGGAGTCGGAGGGACGGCGAGCGCGCGCGCGCCGCGGCGTTCCCGGAGAGACCCCAGGACCCTGCCGGGCCGGGGCCGGGCCGGGCCGGGGCGGGCGAGCGAGGAACCAGCGAGCGAGCGAGCGAGCGTTCGGGCGATCGGGAGGACGAGCGAGCCAGCGAGCGGGAGGACGAGCGAGCCGCCGGGCGAGCGCGCGCGCGGGGCCGGGCCGGCGGCCACCATGCCCCGCACGCCGCGCCACTAGGGCGCCCGCGGCCCCGCGGCTCCCCGACCCCGCAGCCGGCGGCGGCCACGGCCGCGATGGTTTCCGACGCCCGAGGATCTCGCAGCTGATCGCTCCCGGGGATTCAAAGGCAGAGCGAGCGAGCGAGGGAGCGAGAGAGACCGAGAGACCCCCCTTCCCCTCCCTCGCCGTCTTTGTTTCCTTCCCCCCCTCTGCGCTCCCCACTCCCCCACCCCACCCCCTCCGCCCTCCTCCTCCTCCTCCTCCTCCTCCTCCTCCTCTCGCCGAGCGGCGGCGGTCGGAGATGGATGCGTCCCGGTGCCCGGCCGAGCGCGGGCTGTGGCGGGTGCTGCTGCTCGGGAGCCTGTGGCTGGGCCACGCGCGCTCCGTGCTGGCCTGCCCGGCCAACTGCCTCTGCAGCAGGACGGAGATCAGCTGCCGCCGGCCGGACGACGGCAGCCTCTTCCCGCTGCTGGAAGGGCAGGACTCGGGAGGCAGCCCGGGCAACGCCAGCGTCAACATCACCGACATCTCCCGGAATATCACCTCCATGTAAGTCAGCCTGCAGACCCACCGGCCACCGACCCACCGACCGACCGACCGACCCCGGGCCATCCCCTCCCGTCCCCGGCGGCCCCGGCCGCCCGGCTGGCCCGCAGCTGGCCCCCGGGGTGGCTCCGGAGATGCCTGGGGCCGGCCGTGGGTATTTCAGGTGACACCGGCCCTGGGGGCGAGATGTGATCGGATGGTGCGTGCGTGCGTGTGTGCATGTGTGCGTGTGTGCACCCCTCCGGGAAGGGGGGAGTCCTGCCCGGCTGGAGCTGGCCACGGGCTGGTTTCCAGGGTTCCAGTTGCCTTCTTTGCCCCCCACTCTATAGCAACAGTTTGGCCGGGCTCAAGAGGAATAAAGTAGATCGGAGCCTGGCTGCTGTACTCACGGCACCGGCCGGGGCCGGGCACCCTGGGCCGGGAAGGGAAGGGAAGGTGACAGGGGCGGCTTGGTGGCAGCGGTGGGGGACCTGCGATTTGTTGTTAACTGTTTCCTCTTGGGCAGTAAACAAGTTGGGAGCTGGCTGCCCCCCCCCACCGTGTCCAGGCTGTCATGGATGCCTGCCTCTTCCCTTTCCCCCCTCTTCCCCATCCGTCCGCCCTCTCCATCCGGGGCCCCCCCTCCCCATTTTCGGTATTTCCGAGACATCCTCCCCCCCCCATACACGGGCCCTTATCCCAGCTTCTGCCCATGGGTGTCTGTCTGTCTGTCTGTCTGCCTGCAGAGCCTTCTTGGGCTTGGACTTTGGCAACTGCCATGGGTAATTTCGAGTCAGGAGAGTGGAAGGGAGAGGAGAGGACTTGTGTTTGGGGAAGGGGGGGGTTTCCTCTGAGGATCCGGCACCTCCTTTTCTTTGGGAAATGGAACTCGCTGGCTGGCAGGCCGGCCGGCTGGCTGGTGTTCTCATGGTCCCCCCCAACCCCCCCCCCCCCCCCGGCCTGGCGAGCATGGTTGAGCAAGTGAGACCTGTAGTGTGGCCTTATTCTTTTCCTTGCTCTTTTGCTGTAGCAGGGATGGGGGTCAGATGCATAGAAAAGGGCGAAAGCAAACACTCAGGGGAAACTGTCCATCCTTCCGGCCCTCCTCCAGGTGACCCCCTCTCCCCCCTCCCCATCTCCCACCCTGCCACACTGGCGGAGGACAGCGCCCTGTCTGTTTCCTTCAAGGTCTCTGTCCCTTGGGAGCCTCAGGCTCGGGGAGGCCGCCGGGAGAGGGTGGGAGGAAGGCATTCGGGGTGGCGCTTTGCTTTCTGGGCAGACCGGGTCCCCGCGGTGGCAGCAGCGGCTGCTCTCTGAGTTGGCCCTCCCCTCTTCTGCCCGGGTGACTGGGCTGCAAAGCCCGGGGCAGAATCGCGGTCCTGTTCCCCCTCCCCCAAAGCCCCAGCCCGCCAGCCTTCCTGGCTGGCTCCTGGCAGCTGTGGGGCTGGGGAACGGGGCAGCTCTGCCGGTCCCTGACTCCCGGCCCTGCCGAGACAAGCTGGACCCCATATCTCAGTGCAGCACTCAATTCCCACTGCCTTCAGCCTGGCCATGGATGACGAGACAGACGGACAGCCGAGGGGCAGGGGAGAGGAACCCCGTGTGTGTGTGTGTGTGTGTGTGTGTGTGTGTGTCCCTCTTGTGGGCCACACTGTCCAGCCTGACGGCAGGGAGGAGGGCTGGTAGAGACACCCCGGGGCCTTGAAGTGCATGCTGGGGTGGGGGCTGTGGGTGGAGGGAGGGAAGTTAGCCGCTGATCTTGGGGCTGCCAAGCTGGACATGGGGTTGTTCCGGAAGATTACGTGGGGCCCAGGGGCTGCTGAGAGTGTGCCCAGGATGGGTTCCCAGGAGCCACTGAGCAGTGTGGGCTGGTCCCCCCCGACTCGGAGAGCCTGCGCGTCTGGTGATGCCGTGGGCCGGGAAGGCAGGGATGTTACAATCACGTAGGCCCCCGGTGGCCATGCCGGGGCTGGGGAGGAGCAGCTGGCAGAGAAGAAAGAGCCGGGCTGGTCTCCTCAGCCTCCTGGAGGTGGCCTCTGCCCTCTTTGGCATTAGATCGATGTAAGAAGGCACCTGGGAGTGGGTATCAGGGATCGGGGTTCCAGCTGTGTACCTCTGTGCTTCTTTCAGGACTTTCCCATGCCGAAATCCACCCTCTCACCAAGGAACCCCATTCCTCCCCGTGCCAAGTGGGGAAGGGTCAGAAGTCATAGGTCACTGACCCCGTCAGCCCAGCCTCTCCCCAGTGCCCTGTTGCCTCCGTGGCTGGTGCAGACTGTACTTAGAAAGGGACTAGCCTTCTTCTCAGGAGGTAGAGCCTAGAGAGGAAGGGCTCAAAACGCGTCCCTGTCCCTGGTGAACCCCCAGGGACACTGAGGGCCAGACTGGGCAAAGTCACTTTGCCCAGGTTCGCGGCCATCCAGCGTGGAGCCAGGCTGGAGGAGGGGGGCAAAGGCAGCACATAGCCCCAGGGGGCTGCTGGCAGGAAGGAGGAGTTTGAGGACAGGGGTACAGGGCCCCAGGTGGAATGCTGGACTTTCTGTGGTGACTTTGAGATAGAGACTCAAGCCTCCCCCCCCCCCCCCCCAGGGCCTGAAGCCCTGAGTTGCAGGGGTTGGCCGTGGGAGTGCCTTCTGGATCCAAAGAGGCTGGGTCTCCCCAAGTTCATCATCCTGAGGTTCCTCCCGCTCGCCTGTGGCAGGTACCGGCTCTGCACCGCCTGCCCTTAGCACTGGAGGCGGGCAGGGCAGGAGTGTGGGTCTCACCTCCGCCCTTCCTAGAGCTGAGTGGCTGCCGAGAGCCTTCCTTTGGACCTCCTTTTTGCCCAGAAGAGCCCATTCATCCTGTGGCCATTGGAGCAGTGGACCCAAGGGAGCCAGTGTCTGCAAGGGTCCGGGCCCGGCCACACCCAGCCAGGCTCTGACTCACAAAGGCATCCAGGACGGTGGGCTGTCGGGGCTTCTCCTACACTGGGTCTGGGGAGGGGTTGGGTTGGGTTGGGGGGTGAATCCTTCGGCTTGTAGAAAGAAGATGGAGGGAGGGAGGATGGCTGGCCGCGCCGGGTGTCCTGGGGCGGGCTCTTGGGTGGGAAGCTGGGTCCCTGAGCTGGAGACCCTGTCCTGGCTGGCTGGCGGGTCCTTTGGAGCTTGGACTGTGTCTGGGCGCCTCGGTTCCCCTCCACTCTGAGGATCCAGGGAGAGACCCAGCTAGCGACAGCACAGGTGCTGTCCGGGTGGCAGTCAGCAAATGCAGGCAGCATGGCCCTTGGCAGGGCCCTCCCTCCTCTGGGTTTCGGTCCTGGGGCAAAGGTCATGTTCCCAGGATGGAGTCAGGCCGCCCTGGGCCCCGTCCTCCTGGGCACTTCACACTGGGGTGTGGCTCTCCTCGGGTGAGTGTGTGTGAGTGTGTGTGTGTGTGTGTGTGTGTGTTATGGCTCTCCTCAGTACCCTCCGTCTGGGGTCCCCTGGGCCAAGGACACCAACTCTAAGGCTCCACGAGACCTGAGACCAGGAAAGCATTGGGAAAAGCTGGTTTTGAAAATGCTTGGGTCCTGGGCTGGGTGCTGAGCTCCCTGTCTGGGGGGGGGGGGTGTCTTCTGTCTGTCTGTCTTGCCAGAGTGACCCATCCTTCCGTCCTGGGGTGAGGACCCCGGGCCCCTTCCCAGTTGAACTCAGGGCCGCTGGGGCGCGAGCGCCACACTTAGTTCCCGCTCTCGTCCCTAGGTGGCGTCTGGGAGCAGGAGGAGAGAGGGGATGGGTGGGTCACACCTGGGGGGTGGGAGCCTGGTGTGGGAGCCAAGGGGCCTTGTGAGCCTTCCACCACCTTGGATGCTGCCCGTCCAGGCCCTGAGCAACACCCCAGGCCAGCCCTGTGCGTCTCTCCTTCAGGGTGGGACAGAGCGGGGGCTTCCTGCTGGCCGTGGCCTTCGCCCTCCCCCCCCCCCCCCCCCCCCGCCTTCCTCCACAACAAACTCAGAATTGGGCAGGACTTACAGACACAAGACACATTGGGTGTCAACTGCGCAGACGGAGTGAAGCGCAGCCCCGTTCTAGGATGGCATCCCCTCCTTCGAGGCCTTGATCTCTTCGCTCTGTGCCCCCCCCCCCCCCCCCCGTTTGCCTCCTGGACCGGAGCCTGGAGAGGAGAGCTTCCCCCTCCCCCCCACAAGAGCTTGAAACTTACACAGCTGGACTGGGGGTCTCCGCTTCCATTTCAAATGAGTCTTTTCTAGAAGAGGGAATATTGAATATTTAATATACGGATTGAAGATATCTAAGCATATAATTTAATAAATATGAGTGTTGTGGGGGTTGCGAGATAAAATTTTTATGACCGAATTATACATAATCAGAACAGCATGGCGCCCCCCCCCCCCCCCCCCCCGTCCTCCAGGTTAGAACTCGGAGACGGAGGAAGGAATGGGTTGGGGACCGGAAGCCGTGGGCCCCCCGTCTTCTAAGAGGGGTTTCACTTAGATTGGTGGTGTTGGGGGGGGTACACGGGCATGTGCAGCAGGGTTGGGCCGGGTGGAGAGCGACCCTATCTCTCTATCCGGCTTTCTATCTGGATGCCCAAGGCCTGCAGAAACGGCTCCCAGGAGCAGGCGGGCTCTCAGGTGAAGATGGTCTTCCCACCGAGATCCCGCACTGGAGGTTCAGAAAGATCATCAGTCCCATTTCCCTGATGTGCCAAGCAGAAATCCAGGCAAAAACAGGAGCTGAGGGGTGGGGTGGCACCCCATCATGGAGGAACCCTGGGTGGAAGAGGCCTCTGGCTTCAAGGGGTGACGGGAAGCAAAATCTAGAAATCCATCTCTTTCTCCAAGGGAGGCCTTTCTGGATGCGCGGTCTCTGGGGGACTTGTGGAAAAGGCCTGGCCTCCACCGGAGGCTGTACCTGGCCTGCTCAGGCGTGCGGGCGACTGGCCGAGCCGTAGCTGGAGTTCCGAGTCCTGGGTGGTTCACTTGCTTCGGCGCGTGGGAAGTGTGGAGGTGTTGCTGGTTCCGAGGGTGGTGACAGGTCTGG